CGGTTTAACTTCAACTTGTAAATTGCTACAAATTTCAACAAGTGAAGATAAACAATTATCTCGGCTTAACTTCAACTTGTAAATTGTTACAAATTTCAACAAGCGTTAAACATATTCTTCTTCTCTCTGCCCCCCCAGTGTGAACTTAAAATCCACTTGGGTTCTCATTATACATGCAGCTTCGACCTTGTCGCCGAGGTTTAATTCAAGCCGAGGTAGTCGACCTTGGTTTCTCTATTGATCTTACTTGACTCCAACCTGAGTTTGATTTTTCGGCCTCGCATCGGCGAGCCGTTTCTCTTTTCTTGTTCCGACGCCTTTGTTCCCGGCATGTCCTCCTCGGCCCTAGTATACTTCTCAATTCTGGCAAACTTTAGTCTGATCTTGTGTGTTTCCTTTTTATCTTCTAGGATCTGAGATCTGCTCATTGTGCTCTTCTATTCTCGGACTCAGGTCTCGCGATCTTATCTTCTGGAATCTTGGATCTGCTCACTCAGGTTGAGCTCTTCTTTTATCGGGCCTACTCATCTAGGCCGAGATCATATCTTCTGGGATCTGGGATCCGGGATTTTCTCACTCAGGTTGAGCTCTTCTATACTTGAATGTTATCTCCTTGGGAGCGCTCATGCCCCCTGTCTTTGTATCCCTTCTGGAAGGGTCTTCGTTCCTCCGCAGGTATCTATCCTTCCATACCTGGAGGTCATCTTCGTTGTAGTATCCGCTTCGATGCCGGCTTCTTTCACTCCGTGACTCTGGTCACAAGTTTCTGTGTTGCGGTTGTCCCCTTCAACGTCGAGATCGATAGGTCTTCCACTCCTAGCAGGAGCATTGTCTCTAATCTGATCCTTCTGTCCGTCATTGGCCATCTATTCTTCTTTCTTTCCCACAGACGGCGCCAAATTGTGTGGGTAATTTTCTGACCACACTGTCCGCTTAGTAACCAGCTGGAGAGTACCAGCAGAATAGATGGCACCTGGCTGACCTGCAACAGAAAGAGAAGTCTCCAGCGATGGTTCAACCACCCGGGGGCACTCCGACGATCAAGTCAGTATATCTCTCAAAGATAATCAAGTGCTAAACTCACAAGCTTAAGCATAAAAAGCATACCTTAGACCTATGGGGGTGCCTCTCTTTTATAGCCAACATAAACCTAGTCCCAATAGGAGCCTGGCCCTAATGGACTTAGGATTACTGTTAATCTGGGACTCCCAGTGGGATTAGGATAAACTCTCTAAGAGTCTTATCTTTACCCAAACTGAAGTCTTCTCCCAATCTAGGACTCTTGTCCATATCTAGGTTGAGTTCCCTCTTTATTCTAGGACTCTTGTCCTTTATCCGCTTATCTCGGATTCCGATATCTTTAGAGATAACCTCGGCCTTGCTGAGATCACCTTCGCATCATGACCAGGACACGTGGCACCTCGGCTGACACGTCGGCGTCACCTTGCCACGTGTTGGTACTCAGAAAATATATCCTCACACCAATTATCCACCAACAATCACCCATCATTCACTCATCATTCATTTACCAACAATCAACAACCAACCATCCATTTTCGTAAATTCTCCCCCAAAAGTGAGCATACGATTGCGAATTGCCAACAATTAGGTCTTCTGAAATGTGACACCAACATTTACAAATTGCCATATCTTCTTCAATGGTGAATGATTTTCCTCTCTTTGTCTTTGATGGACCTTCCAGAGTGATTAGATGAAAAAACTAAAAAGAAAATAATTTAAGAGGTTTGCTCTGAAATCAAATTCAGAGAAGAGAGGAGAAAAAAAAAATTAAATCCAAATGTTTGTATGAAATAAAATTGACATGGGGGGTTTCAATTTATAGAAATTTAAAATATTACTGTTTGGGGAAATAGCCGTTTGAAGATAGTTGTTGTAAAAAAAATTAATGTTTTTTTTTTTAGCCGTTTGAAGATAGTTGTTGTAAAAAAAATTAATGTTTTTTTTAAAAAAAAAAAAAAAAACCAAACAGAGCACAATGGCTCTTTTCCTACACAATGAGAGCATCTCCACCGTCCACATATTTTTCATCAATGGTTGATATTTTTTGTCTAGAATAATCCACCGATATCAACCCTCTTCATCTCTCTCTCATTCTGTCTTCCTTTCCTCAAACCACTTTCTATTCTCCTCCTCATGATCGAAACCACTCTCTTACTCTCTCACTATGTCTCCCTCTCACTCTCTCACTCTGTCTTCCCCCTCTCTCTGTTTTCACTCTTCATCTCTCTCTCTTTGTCTTCCCTCTCCTCAAACCATTCCCTTCTCCTCATCCATCATCCAAACGTGTCTCTCTGTCTGTGTATGAGTGTCTCCGTCCTTGAGCTCAAGTCTTCACCGATCTGTCTACTCTTTGATCTATCTACTCTTCGATCTCTCTCTATCTTTCTTTTTCTCGCTCTCGGCTCTGTCCTTGGTTCCAAGTCCTCACCTCCGATCTGTCTACTCTCTGTCTCTGGTACAATCTCCATCTATATATATGCTTTGATTTTTTCTTTATTTTTCTGGTTGTTGATGTGGATCTGAAGTGATCGTGATTTTTGAAACTCAAATCTGGCGATGGATTCAAACTGGATCTTCAAAGAACTCAAGCATCTCTAGAAGGTTCTTCAAAGAACACAATCTGGTATATTTTTTTTTTTCAAATTTTCTTAATTATTTATTTTGATTTTTGGTTTAATTTTTTTTTCATCCATTAATTTTTGTTCATCCATTTATTTTATTTTGATTTTCAAAGAACTGAACCCTATTTTGGTTTGGTTTATTGTGATAATATCCATCTGATTTGGTTTGGTTTATTATGAATGCATACCATCTGATTTGGTGATAAATGATTAAAAAAAATTAAAAATTTTAGAGAAACCAAATTTTGGTTTGTCAAATTCATTTTGAAATTTGTTAATTTGGCAACAAAATAGAAAATTGGGTTTGATTCTGAAAATTGGGTTTGATTCTGAATTTTTTGGATTCCCTACTGTTTCAATTATGTTTTTTTTTTTTGAATTTGGTGCTAAAAATTTTTTTTTTTTGAACTAAATTTGGTGCCAAATTTTTGTTGATATTTGCTGATCTGGCAAATTGGGGAGCTGCTGTTTCACTTGTCAAATTTGAGAACAGATATAGCATCTGCTATCTTTAGCAAGTAGGATAGCAGGCCATTAGAGACCCTCCTTTTGTCATTCTTGTCAAATTTTAGCTTTGACAAGTTGAATAATAGCTCCATTAGAGATGCTCTAAGCATCGCATCAATGCAAAAATTCTAATTAATTAATAATAGTAAACTAAACACTCAATCAAAACACATTTTTCTTTAAACATAATGGAAAGTGTATTTTTCAAAATAATATAATTTTTTGGGCAAATTACAAACACCTCCCTCGAGGTTTGGTAAAAATACAGATTCCTCCCTGAGGTTTGAGAAATTACAAATTGCCCCCTGAGGGTCAAACTTTTATGACAAATTAGGGGAAATTATGGAAGAATCTGTATGAAAATAAAAACCTCAGGGGACAATTTGTTATGGAAATATAAACCTCAGGAGGTGGGATGTAATTTCTCAAATCTCAGAAAAAAATCTGTATTTTTACTAAACCTCGAGGGGGGTGTTTGTAATTTGCCCTAATTTTCTATATAAATGATCTGCTTAAAAAATATTATAAGATAAATTATTCAAATAATCGGGATGTTGTAATGGCCCTACCAATACCCAACAATACCCAACAACACAGTCCAATCCAATTTGACAGAATCTCGTCCCCTTTTGTAAAAATATGCTAATATTTTTTATGGCTTTCATTGATGGTTTTCATTGCTAAGACCACAATTATTAATTTAAGTATCATTGAGTGAGTTTTCTATTTTTAAATGGAATCACTGAATGAGTCTTGCACAAAAAGATTTGATGATTAAACTACTTTCAAAATGTTTCATAAAAATATTTAAAAAATCAAAAGATTAATTTTTTTAGTATTTAATACACTGGAATTAAATGAAATTATGAAATTGTCATCTTTTCCAGCTCTATGAAATAATGATTCCCTTATAATAATAAATAATGATATGGTTCTATCGTTTTTTTAATGAATTAAACACGACAGAATATTATGATGAAAATGAAAACATCACTTTCATATTTTGAACCTAACACTACCTAGATTCATAAAAGTGAATCATACATGCATGTATTAATATCGACTTCACCAACCACCATAATTCCAGTGTTTTTGCACTTTTCTTTCATTCAGCTATTATAAAAGCAAGATTAAAGCAACAAAACTATAACAAAGAGTAAGTCGAAGATGCATCTGCATAGTAAGTGAGTTTATTGATAGGCCATAAAGCAATGAAGGTCACCAAGGATCTCAAGGAGGCTTTTCTGTTTGTATATCCAACGAATTGCAGAACACATACTATCTTCCCCAAATCCAAGATCTTGGATTTCTGAAAGAATGTATGGAGGGTTTAAAAAAGGATAATATATATAGCTTTTACATTATCCCCTTTTTTCTTTCTTATTTACTCTATGTTGTGTTTGGTTCATGAATTTGGAGAGAGATTTGGAAAGAGAAGAAGTGTGTACAATGTAGGTGAAATGTTTAAGATTTTAGGATTTAGGGTTTCATTATTATTTTACTTACCTTTCTCTTTTCCCTTTCCCTTTCCCTTTCCAATGTTTAGGTTTTAGGTTTCATTAACATTTCACTTACCTTTTTCTTTTCCCTTTCTTTTTTTTTTTTTTTTTTGGTTTTTTTTTTTTTTTTTGTGCCATGCATGATTCAAACTTATTTTGAGAAGGAGATTAAAAACTGGGTGGGGGTGGCTGTGGCATTGGTTAGACTTTAGTTCAAAAAATATTTTTGGAAAGTGGAAAACATTTCTACCCTAGTAAGTTTGTGTTGTTTATGGAAATTTCCGCTGACTTCTATTTTCCATTGTACCAACACCAAAAAATGTGGAAAACGTTTCACTGAAACAACAGAGCATAAGATCCAAATCACAGCTTAAGATTTCAAATCAATAGTTGATGCTGCAAATGGGAGGTATTGTCCCTCATCCAGGCAAATGAATACAACTAAAGTAAAGAAATCATAAAAAGAAAATCCACCAAATTCAAATAGCTTAAATGATATCATACGAAAAAATATTTTACTAGAGTACAGAGGGGATATTTTACAGACAAACCTCAGTGATAGCCAAATACAATGAAGAATTTCAGGTGACTCGTGCAAATCTATAACTGCCGGGAGATTGGGCAACTGTATCAGTCATCATACGAAGAGTGAGGAGCAGCGGTGCATCCAGGGTCAAAGGGATCTTCAGATCCGCAACAATGCCAATATTGAAGAACTTTACCAGAGTCAGGTGTATTCATGGTGCCTCCAGAGTGCACGCTCTCAAACTTCCTCTTTGTTTCTCCTGAGGTGGCAAATGGGTATCAAAAGATGCAACAATATTGTACGACCATTTGGTCTCACCGAACAAGGCAAAATGCAACATCACAAGATTTGTGGATGTGAGCAATATTGCTAGCACAGTACAGAATGGCAGCTGATATGGAAATGTGTGTGTGTGTGTGTGAGAGAGAGAGAGAGAGAGAGAGAGAGAGAGACATGGGTTGAATAGCTGAATGTGTCTTCTTGCAGAAATAATTTTTGGTTCTTACAATGAATATTTAACAATAGTTCATATACTATTGTAAAGAGAGAATATCATTTTCGCATTCCCCTATTTGAAGCCTTGTCAATCTTTAGAATTCCCAAAAACCAATTAAATAGTTTTAGATGTTGCTTTTGTAAAGGGACTTTCTGGAGATTCTACAATCACCTATAAATTTGAATTGTAACTCTTATTTAATTGCATGTACAAATTAGAAATTAGTTAACTGATAGGTGAGGATGTACAAGAAAGAAAAACTATTACACTTCATATTTTTGAGTGACTTCTTGCAAACCACAACAATTTAAGTTATTGCTCTATCCCACCCTCCCACAAACTTCTACGCGTTGACATACTGTTTGTCTGTCTGTCTTGTCATAGAGTTCCAATCATGTGCATGCCCATCACGCGTGGCAACCCTCTAGCATGGCATAAGATCTGTTGTTGCTATAACTAAAGTGACATGTTACGCCAAGGAATGCATCACTTGATGATTTGGTTGACCTCTATTTTCTTCTGAATAACTGCACTTTTGGTTACCATAGATCTTAGAAATGTAGACCAAAAGCTAACGTCCTGAGGGTTTCATATTGTTCCCTCTATTTCAATTTTGCATCCAAAAGCTATTCAAACTGCGTGACATCGGATTGCCATCATAAAGGCAGATATACTTACAGTCCCCTTTTTCGTTTCTCAGAGCCATAACCAATTTACTATGAATGGCAGCATGGAAACCAAAGAAGAGAATTATGTAGACAGAAAAAAGAGAGATGAATCATGAGTTCCCCATACTTTGCAGACAAAGTTACCACAATCCACAGTTATCTGTGAGAATATATGTGTATATTCTATATTTAGCATGATTGTGATTGTACATATTATAGGCGTGATTGCACATATTATAGGCGTGATTGTGTATAGGCGTGATTGTGTTTTCCTTTTTTGGTTTCAAAGTTAGGACTATATAACCTAGGGTCTTGTTGTAATCAATTACACAATTTGAATATATAGAATACAAAAAACTTACGTGATATCAGAGCCACATCCGAAACCATAGGTATGGCCTTGATCATTCGAAGTTCTTTCTCTTTGTTCATGCTTGTTGTTCGAAGTCTTCTCTAGTCTTCTCCGAAGCCATGAAGGTCTTTTTGAGTTTCTCCGAAGTCGCGATAGCCCTCTCTGTCTTCGCCGAAGTTGCGACAGACTTCTGGTGCTTGGTCTGAAGTCGCGACTCTAGTCTGGGTTTGAGAGATCTCTCCCTTTCTCTCTAACGACCTTTGCTTTGGCTCAATTTCTAGTTCTCTCTCTCTCTAGCAGTGTCGATCAAAGCTTCTTTGCTTTGGTTCTCTCTCTGGTCTCTACTCTCTGTTTTTAGATTTTAGTCCACCAGTATTTGACCCCTCTATCTCAACTTTGGGTTATTACAATTTGACCCCTCAGATTTATTGGGTTTTATCACTTTGCCCCATTAGTTCCCTTCTCTATTATTTCTGGTTCATGACAATGACAAAAGATAAAATTCAAACTATTAAATGCAAACTTACAAGTGACAACTATGCTTATTGGTCTAGTGTTATGAGAAATTTTCTTCTCGGCCGAAAAAGGGGATATGTTTTTGGTTCTGTTCCTCGTCTATCGAATCCCAAACAAGAAGGATATCTAATTTCCTATAACACTTGGGATTGTGATAATGCTCAAGTTTTGACCTGGTTCCATAACCCTGTGGATGACCGTATCAGGATGATGTTCTCTAAATATAGCAATGCCAAAGAGGTGTGGGATTACTTACAAAATGTTTATTAGTAGTCCAACTTTGCCAAATGGTATGAGTTGGAAACAGCTATTTAGGGAGCTCGTCAGCGGGATATGTCTATTCAAGATTACTATATTGAAATGACAGGTCTCTGGGATCATTTGGCTCTTATGGAACCTTCCAGCCTCAAGGTTCTAGATGCTTATATTGAGTTTCGGGAGCAGAGTCGTTTAGGGAAGTTCTTAACGGCTCTCACCCCTCAGTATGAGGCTATCCGTGGTGACATCCTTCACCGGTCTCCTCTTCTTTTTGTGGATGCTATTGTTCGTGAGCTTCTCTCCGAGGAAACCCGTCTCAAAACAACCAATCAGACTCCGTCTCTATCTGTCTTCCTAGCTCTTGCTTAACCTCCACTATTATCGACCCCACCAGTTCAAGCCACTGCCAAACCCAAAAAAGGGCCCTTAGCATCAAATGAGTGTGTTTTCTGCCATCAGAAGGATCATTGGAAGTACAACTGTCCCCAGAAAGGACGTTCATCTTCTCAACAATCTCAGTCCTGAGCTTCTACTCAGAGTTTTTTCCGGCCCCCCGCTGCTTATACTGCATCCACTCCAGCTCCAAGTCCTAATTTGGCTTCCTTGAGTACTCAGCTGACTCAATTTCAACAGATCTTGTCCACCTCTCAGTCATCTTCATCTGTCTCTGCTCCTACCTCTCTTCATTCAGGTTGCTTAGGTCCTCTTCAGGTATTCCTTCTTTTGTCTCGTTTTTTATTCTGATGCCTCACATCATATGACTCTTCACCTTTCCTTACTCCCAAATTGTATCCCCTCTTCTTTTCCTATTACTATTAATACTGCTAATGGGTCTGGTATGTCTATCTTATCTATTGGGTCTATTTTACCCCCTGTCATGTCTGTTGTTGCAATTCCCTCTGTTCTTTATGTTCCTCAATTGTTTATCAACTTGCTTTCTATCAGTCAGCTTGATACTTCTGGTTTTGATATTATCTTTTCATCTTTTATTTATTGTTTGCAGGATCGGGTGTTTAAGAAGCAGATTGGGACTGGCCATAAAGTTGGAGATCTCTATGTGGTGGAAAGCCTGCATCTTCCTCTATCTACCTCTCCTGTTGACTTTCATTTTTTCAGTTAGATTCTCAGGCGAGTCAGTTTTATTCATGGTATTCTCGCCTCGGTCATTTGTCTGTTGACCGCTTAGGGTCTTTAGCTCAGTCAAGATTATTGGGTAAAGTTTCTCCTGGTCAAATTAATGGATGTCAATGGTGTAAACTTGCTAAAATGACAGCTTTACCTTTTAATAAAAGTTCCTCTATTTTTGTTTCTCCTTTTTCTCTCGTTCATACTGATGTCTGGGGACCCTCTCCTGTTCTCACTAAAGGGGGTTCTGCATACTATGCGTCCTTTGTTGATAATTGTACCCGCTATACCTGGGTTTATCTTATGGCTCATAAATCTAACTTTTACTCAATCTACCGTACCTTTCAGTCTATGTTCACTACACAGTTTGGAACTAAAATTAAAATGCTATGGTCTGACTTGGGTAGGGAATACTTTAAAACCAAATTCTATGAGTATTTAACCAATTTAGGTACCCTTCATCAAACTTCCTATACAAATACACCTGCCCAAAATGATCGTACTGAGCGTAAACACTGTCATCTCCTTGAGACAGCTCGATCTCTCATTCTCTCTACCTCTGTTCCAGCACTATTTTGGGGTGAGGCCGTTCTTACTGCTGCTTTTCTACTCAACCGTATGTCGAATCTACTCCTCTCTGGACAATCTCCTTATCAGGCTCTGTATTCCCAACCTTCTAATTATTCCCTCCTACGTGTTTTTGTGTCTGCTTGTTTTGTCCTTCTTTCCCGTAAAGATAGGACCAAACTCAGTGCCCGGTCTGTCCTGTGTTTTTTTGGGTTACAGTCTTACTCAGAAAGACTATCGCTGTTATGACCCTATCTCTCGTCGCCTTTATGTCTCTCGCCATGTTGCCTTTCTCGAACATCTGTCTTATTTTCAGCTTTCCCTATTCAATGCTCCAGTTTCAAAAACGGATTTGGTTCACATTGACTCATATCCTTCTGAGGTCCCGTCTAATGATTACATCTTCATTGTTCCTCCTGAACTTGTTCTATCTTCTCCACCTTCCACCTTCCATCTCGCCTGTTGAGTACCTCTCAACAAACCCCCCTGAGGCCATTCCTACTTCTCCTCCTGCTTCCCCTTTGGCTACTTCTCCTCCTCTGTTGGTAGTCTATTCTTGTCGTAAGGCTCCCCCTCCACCAATTGTCTCTGCCCCGGCTGCTACCTTTTCTGCTTCTAAAGACTCTGATCCTGCTACACACCGATATTTTACTTGAGAGCGTTATCCTCCAAACAGGTTAGGTTGGTCTAATATATGTTTTTCTGCTTCCCATCATACGTTTTTGTCTGCTATTCATTCTTTTTCACAACCTCAATCTTACAAGGAGGCTTGTCAGGATCCCAATTAGGTTCGAACTATGGAGGATGAGTTGTCTGCTTTGCACAAAACTCGTACTTGAAAGTTGGTTCCTTTGCCTACTGGTAAGAATCTGGTTAGTTGCAAATGGGTCTACAAAGTCAAGACTCATTTTGATGGTTCTCTTGGGCGCTACAAGGCTCTCCTGGTTGCCAAGGGTTTTTCACAAGAATATGGTATTGATTATGAAAAGACCTTTGCCCCTATTGCCAAGATGACTACTGTCCATACTTTGATATCTGTCGCTATTGTTCGCCATTGGCCTCTTTATCAGATGGATGTTAAGAATGCTTTTCTTAATGGTCATCTCATCGAGGAGGTTTCCATGTGTCCTCCCCCTGGCCTTCACCATTCCTCTGGATATGTTTGCTGTCTTCGGCGTGCTCTTTATGGTCAGAAGCAATCACCTCGTGCTTGGTATGATCGCTTTCAAACTACTGTTACTGAGCTTGGGTTTCATTCTTCTGCTTTCAAATCTGCTTTGTTTCTGAGCCATACCTTGGCTGGTTTTGTTGCTTTCTTACTATATGTGGATGATATGATCATCACTGGCTCTGACTATTCTGCTACCTCTAAGGTCAAGCAACATCTCTTCTGCACTTTTGAAATGAAGGATATGGGTCCATTGCGGTATTTTCTTGGTATTGAGGTTACTTCTTTCCCAAAGAGCTATTTTCTGTCTCAGGCTAAGTATGCTAATGAGGTCATTCACCGTGCTGGTCTTACTAATACTAAGGTTTCTGATACACCTATTGAGCTTAATGTGAAGCTCAACTCTACTGATGGTGTCCCTCTGGATGATCCCACTTTATATCGCGAGCTTGTAGGTTGTTTAGTTTATCTGACTGTCACTCACTTTGATCTTGCTTATGTTGTTCATATGGTTAGTCAGTCTGTTTCTGCTCCTCGCTCTATCCATTGAGCTGCTTTGGTTCGCATTCTCCTCTATCTCAGGGGTACCATTTTCCAGGGATTACTATTGTCCTCTACTTCCTCTTTAAACTTAGTAGCCTGTGTTAATTATGATTAGGCTGGTGATGTTACTGATCACAAGTCTACGTCTGGTTTCAGTATATTTCTTGGTGATTCCTTGATCTCTTGGAAAAGCAAGAAACAATCAGTTGTTGCTCGCTCTACTGTCGAAGCTGAATATCGTGCTATGACTCATGCCACTGTTGAGATTGTTTGGCTTCGTTGTCTCCTGCCTGACTTGGGTGTCCCTCAATTTTCTCTTACCTCTCTCTATTGTGGCAACCGTAGTGCTATTCAAATTGCCCACAATAATGTCTTCTATGAATAGATGAAACACATTGAGATTAATTGTCACTTTGTTCGACGACATCTGCAGTCTGGTTCTATCTTACTTCCTTTCGTCTCTGCGGCTTTGCAATTGGCGAACTTCTTCACCAAGACTCACACAACCGCTCAGTTTCAATTTCTTCTTAGCAAATTCTTAGTGTTTTCTGCTAAAACACCTTGAGTTTGAGCGAGTGTGTGAGAATATATATGTATATTCTATAGTTGGCATGATTGTGATTGTACTTATTATAGGCGTGATTGTGTTTTCCGTTTTTGGTTTCTGAGTTACGATTATATAATCTAGGGTCTTGTTGTAATCTATTACACAATTTGAATATATAGAATACAGAGAACTTACAATCCACATATTTTGCAGACAAAGTTAACACAATCCACAGTCAATATAAATTTTCTGCTATCAAATAATAAAATTCATGTGTCAATGCTATTTAATGTTTGGTTTCGTTAGGAATCCTCTGTGAAATAATGACAAAATTAAAAATATTGTGAGTTCAAACTTGAAATTTTGTCACACTTTTTTGTTTCCTAAGAATGCTCATGAAATTGTTACCTGCTAAAACTCCACTAACTAACTGCAAATGTAAGTCTTAAAAATTAGTATGTGTTTGCTATCAGTAACCCAAAAGTGCCAGCTAGCTAGGGAGCTACATGCTTATGTTTCAGAATCATCAAGTCCAAATTCACCATTGTACAAATTAAATATGCAAAAAACTAGGTATTGGTTAGATAAAACCAAGAATTAACATCAAAGTTCAAGCTTTTAGCAATAGGATCCACAATAGTATTGAAGATTAAAAAATTAGGCATTTCAGATGAAAATTGACAACCCCAGAAAGCATCCAAGCTGCATAATACGAGAGAGGGAGAGAGAGAGGGAATTGAAAAGGTACCTCCGAAATGAGCAGTGTGGTAGAGGCAAGAGCGGGGGTGATTGAGAAAAGGATCGAACTGGGTTTTGCAGTTCTTGCAGGTTCTGAGGGTTTGGATTGGTTCTGCGGAGCATCGAATTTGGAATTGTCTGGTAATTGGTATTTCTTCACAAATACTTGCATTTTGTTTAAATACGAGACGAATTTGACGAGCGTCCTGTGAATTTCGATGACTGAGGGACCAAGCATATCGATATAGGATTGGTAAAGATGAATTCGAATACACTATTTGGACTGCCATGGAAGAAGCTCAGGGTTAGCGCCAGGAGTTCTATTTCAGAACACTATACTACGCTTGTTTCATAATTTTGAGGGAGGTGAAAAAAAAAGTGTGAAAAAATATGAATCAAATATAATTATATATATATATATATATATTTTTTATTTAAATCTATTAATTTGGTTGTAAATGAATAGATAAGGGTTCGTTTGAAAGAATTCCTTTCAAATTCAGTTCGTTAAATTTTTAATAAACAAGTATAAACAAATTAAAGCTCTGTTTGTTTGTTATTGGTTTAATGTTTATTTATATAATAAAATAAATATATTATTATATGGGTTTTTTTTTTTTAAGGTCCCTCGTATTAAGATTTTATAGTATAAAAGACATCTAATATTTTCATAATGTCTAAGGTCCCTCAAGTTGATTCAGAGAAAATTGATCCAGAAAAAATTAGTCCAAAGAAATTTGGCCTCCTTAGCCTTTAATGGACTGTCCAGAGAAATTTCAAATTTCTTTACCTTCTATATACTTCCCACTCTCCAGAGAAATTTCTCTGTGGCTTCTTTATCTTATCATTAAGATTGTTTGGTGAAATATTACCCATGTTCCAAAGCTAATCCATCTTGACTTGAATTTTACTGCTATTAGGTTTGTGATTTTGGGTTGTCTCGAATGAAACACAGCACATTTCTTTCTTTAAGGTCAATTGCAGGGACGGTAAGCAGTATTTGTGAATTTGTAATTTAGTCCTATTCCTCTGCTGCATGCTAACCTAAGCTGCTCCCCACCACCACCATCTCCCTTTTTCTTCCCTTCTTATTTCCCAACTCTCTGTCCCTTCCATTCTTCTTCCTCCCTAACCCCATTCAACACCAACCTCTCTCGTTCTCTCTCTCTCAATTCATAGAGCACTCAAAGAGAAGGATTGTGATGAAGTGTTCTTAAAAGGATTGGAGTGAGCTGTTTATGATCACTTAATTTGCTTCTTTTTATTGCTAAATTTAGGTGAATGGGTTTTACTTCTCTTCAAGTTTGCATGGATTCATCTGATTGGCTCCAGGTATGCCATGCATTCTTCAATTTTTATTTCTTCATTTTCAAACACTTGAAATTAAATTTTGCAACTTAATTTAATGGCGATACGTGTTTTAAGATTAAAAAAAATAAATAAAGAGATATGAGACAGAGAATCATGCGCACACAACCCATCATCATCATCATCCTCTTTTTTCATCTAAATCCCAATACTTCAATTTATTTTCTAAAAGTTTCCTAACATCCTCAGATTTTATTTTTATTTTCAAAAGTTTAATTTTGATGACAGCATGGTCTAAGATCTAGGTGAAAGAGACTATTAAGCATATGTAATCTTTCACTGTAATTATTCAGTGTCATAATAAATTATTAGTGTTGGTAATTAAGATACTATGCACTTCCATAGCTTACAGTTCTAGGGGACTAAAATTGCTCATTTAAAGTAGTTCAACTCTTATTCTCATGCAATCTAATGACACTAGAAACAAAACATAAATGATTTGTATATGAAAAATATCCATATTTGAAATAGTAGTGTTGTGGAGTCTAGAGAAATTCTCTAGGTTGAGAGAATTTCTCTGGAAATATTTGTCTGGGAATTTTCTCTGGGTTGTGGAGTCCAGAGAAATTCTCTGGGTGAGAGAATCTCTGAAAATATTTGTCTGAGAATTTCTCTGGGTTTGGGGAGTCTAGAGAAATTTTGAAATTTCTCTGTGATGTGTCCAGAGAAATTTTGAAATTAAGCAAAGCTCGATCATCGACATATTGTTTCATCTCAGCAGTCATTCCCGACATACGAATTGGATCTGTTTTGTGTGCAATCCAACTTCGCAAAGCTTCAATTCGATCCTCAAACGACTTCATAGTATTGGCAACAATCAGAGTTTCATCCAGATCAAACACAATTGAAAGGCACCGTAAATTCAACATCCCCAAACAAGCATTATACAAACTGGACGGAACCGCATAGCACAAAAAACACGAAATTTCTTCTGCTTGCTCGGCATTGCCACCAAGTGAACCTCTTCGTCTCCGATCAACACCACCGCAGTCTACAAAACCAGCTTAAAACCAATCAATACATACAAAATGAAACCCAATTACAAACAAATAAATGTATGTGTGATTGAAACCTTGAGTTTGTAAAAGCAAGAGGCGTGAAGATTGATCAATTGAGACTGTTAGATTGGAGATGTGGATTCGAGCTTGCATCGGACTGAATTTGAGGAAATTGTTTGGAGGATTACAGCTCCGTCGAGACCACGATTCGTGGGTCTGGACGTGTTTGAACAAGAACAAGGGTTTTAGACGCCATTTTTGGATGAAAAGTTGTTACTAGCATATATATATATATATATATATATTGGGGGTGTATCGACTTGAATTGGAATTGGATTGGACTGAGAGTGAGTAGCTTGTACGCAAGAAGAAGTGAACTCGGTGATGGAATGTTCGAAAAAGGAATAGAAATCGTGGGCAAAGAGTCAAATTTCTCTGATATATGTTTAGGGACCTTAGACATCAAAAATTAATTTTATAGATCTCTTCCATTATGAAAAGTGGGAGAGGGATCCTAGACTAATTTTCCCTTAATATATATTACATATTGTAAAAATATGTATAAAAATTAAAATAAATATATTATTTATATATTTAAATAATATAAATGATAACTAAATTTTTTTATTTGTAAAAAATAACTAAACATAGATAATATATTTAGATAATATTAATGGTAGATATTATTATTTTGGTAAGATATTAACTTTTTTTTAATTATGTTTGTATATATTATATATATAGTTATATAATTAAAATTTTAATTATAACTTTAGTCTGATAGACAAATATGAATTTATAATTTTCTTGACTCATTAAGGCTCGTAATCAGGCACGAGCTCGAGTCAAGCTTAAGCCAATCCGGCTTAAGCTCGATTCGTTAAATTTTCATCACTCTAGTTAAAATTTTAATAAATAAGTTCAACATATGAAAATTCGATTTAACTCAACTCGTTTACAGTCTTAATAAAAGGTAACGTCGTGCATATAGCACGTGTGTATGCTAGATTTATGTGGATATTTGTTATGTTGATGTGGCAAATCATTAGATGATGTGATATTTTAGGATGTTAGTAAAAAATTAGTTTTTTGATATTTTTTTGTGACTTTTTTGACTCATTTGTATAAAAAAATAAAAGTGTGATGTGATTGAAAAAAATTAAAAAGTCAAAAAATTAACGTTTTACCAATTTCTCAAAGGCCCTCGTGTCTCCTGTCTCTCAAGCAAGTAAAAAAGTTGGTTACCTTTGACAAATGGTATTATTAATCAATAATAAATCCTACTATGCTACATATACATAATAGAAAAAATAACGGAGTATTGAATGGTGATACCATACCATTGGCATCACCCTTATATTAAAAAAAAGGTAGTGATTCATCCCCCGAAAATGGGGGAGCCCGAATCCCCCTAATTTCCATTTCAGGTAAAAAAAAAAAAAAAAAAAAAAGGAAAAAAGAAAGAAAAAAAGAAAACAGTTTCCAAAATTGAAAATTAGGGGGATTAGGGGGCAACTTTTTAGGGCTACAAATCATTTCCCTAAAAAAAATTTCCTCCTGAGCAGCAATCCAAACATATTCAAAATAAAAATGTTGATTACATTTATTTTAAGCGTTATTAATCGTATATTAATTTTAAATCTATATCATCTTAAAAAACAAGAAAAAAAAAAAATCCTCCAATGCTATACGTAAAAAATTGCAAAGAATTTGTAATTTATAAATCACATTCATTCATTCATTCTGCCTATATGTTCAATTTAAATTTTATATATTTTTCTGAACAAATACTATTTATAAAAGTTATCACATGATATTTTTAAACCTTACATGACAATAATAAAGACAAATATTAAAAAACACTTCACCCATTGTGTAGTGTTAAATTTGATAAATAAAAATAAAGTTCTTATTTTGAAATGTGAAATTTTAAGATATTAAATTCTCACATAAATCTTCAAATAAATCTGGCTTTTCTATAGTTTCTGGGGCCATTTAGAAACCTTTTAAAAAAGTTAAAAGTTAACTTTTAACTCATTTTAAATTATATCACTTCTCACATAAAAAAATTAAAAAATTCAAAAAAATTCTAAAAAAATCAATTTTTAACCATATTTCCAAAACACCGTAGATAATTTGTATTTGAACTGAATGATATAGTTAAAATGTATGGATCATGACACGTTATTTATGCAAACGATTGTTGTGATTTCACCATAAACGCAAAAGCCGATGAAAATCTCAAGAATCTTATATGTACACATGTAGTCCTTTTTTTATTTTTATTTTCCCCTCGAAATACACATGTAGTCGTGTACACCAAGATGTATCTTAAATTTTAGAGAAAGACTATAGTATGCGCCTTATAATTAAAGAAAAATGATATAATTTTATATTTTATCAGTCATAATTAAAAAAAAAAATCAAAATCAAACAATACATAAGGCATAACTAAAGATTTCAGGAGTTATAACTAAAAAAAAAAAAAAAATAGTCATCTAAAGAAAAAAGTAATATAACTTAAGAGTGCATATAGTAGAATTTCCCTAAATTTTAATTATTACTGTAACAATCAATTGAAACTTAAAATAAATTAAATTTCATGTTAAGATTTCAAAATTGCACCTCAGAATTTGAGAAATTCCATCCCAAACCTGAAAATAGTGAAATTTGATCTCAAATTTCTCGATTTTTTACAAAAACCGAGAAACTTTTTTGTTTTGAAAACAAAGAAATATCTCATCTAAAATGAGAAAACTCAATCCAAAACTGTGAAAGTTCCTTTCAAAAACTAAGGAAATTGATCCCAAATTTGACAGACTTCATCACAAAATTGAGAAACTGGGATGACATGAAACTGCGATATTCCATCCCAAAATTTTAAGTTACACAAAACTGAGCAATTTCTCATTTTTAAATTAATTTTTTGCGTAAATGAGAGTGAACTTCTCGTATAGAACTCATAAATCTCTCACTCAACCGTGGCATATACTTTGAGGCGACAGAGATTGGCATACAAATAAGAGAAATGGTGTACCACAAGGCTTAAGCTTAACAAAACACCATCATGGAGAGTTGCATGGAAGCTCGAGCAGCGGGTTGGTCATCCAAACATACTCTTATCTCGTTGACATTCTTTTCATATGTACCTCATTTCAAATCACTATTTGGTTATTTTCTCCTCTTTGCAGATCTGATCGCGATAATTTCATGAATCCCTGTGAAGCAAAAGAATATGGGTTGGTAAGCTCGGATTGGTGGCCCCCTAGCACCTCCACCCAAAACCAACGCATGGGATATTTGGAAAATTGAAGGGAGCAAGAAAGCAAGGAAGAATTTGCCCTGGAGGAAAATATTTTACATAATGGATACAGAGGTGGTTCATGAAGTGCCGAGGGGAGAGGCACAGAAAGAAAATTAAATTCACATCAGAAAATTAGGATTCTGTTCCAATGCTCTTACAAACTATAATAGAATAGCCTAAGCTTTTATATTGTATTAATTAACAGGAAAGGAAAAAATAAAATGCGGAGAAAAATTTGGAGTTGACAATTCAAAACTATTTCATACACCTAAACATTATGTTCTGTGAAAAGGCGCATGTAACAACAGAAATTCAGCATGGTACCTTCCTCAAAGCTTTCATTCAGAATCCACTCCAGAAGCACACAGTTCCAATGCACACAGTTTCCTAGATCTGGCATCTTACTCGCCGACCTGTTGTTTTGTACCATCACAGTCAATGTAGAGGTGCTCAACTGAAGTGACTTGCAGGACTTCCAGTTTTCAGATAGAGTTGACAGAGTCATCATCACTCTCACTGTCACTGCTGCTGCTCCCACTCCCACTCCCGCTCCCACTTCCGCTTCCACTCCCACTTTCGCTACTCTCGCTCCCACTGCCGCCACTAGAGCTTGAAGTTTGCTCTCGTCTTTCCTCTGCATTCACCTGTGCTCTAAGGGCTTCTGCGGCGTTACGACCCTTATCCTCATCGTCACTGACATCTACTTCAGCAATCTCATCATCTGTATCATTTTGATGTGGTACATTAATGTCAATACCGGTGTGGAATTCTTTTTCAGCATCGTTCCCGCCATTGCCTGCTTCACCACCATCTTCATCGTCATTGACTATGTCTATCTGTTCCTCCAAGTCATCATTCTTAAGGTTTGGTGATGCAATAAATGGATCTGGTCGGGCAGATGGATAATCGACAACCTTCTCATTTTTAGGTTTTGTATCTGTGGCAGAGAGACAAAAAGAGTTGGTGATTGCCAGACTTAAATCAAAAAACAGATCCAGCTACAACCAGCTGTGGTTGTCAAGGCCATTGAGCAACAACTAAGCACTATGTACAACAACATATATCGATTCATTATCAATGATCATCCAAACACACCCTAAGTAAACCTTTTGCAATAAAATTAGACAAGGCTGCAAATCCAGCTCGGTAGGAAAATCTTCAAGGCACTTGGTCTGGTGATGGTAACCTCTCTTGCTACAGCACTTGATGGGATATCAAATTTCTAAAATTATCACAAACTAAGGTATGCTTTGGCAATTGGTCTGGGACTCAACAACTGGGCACCTAACCGTCGCCCAATATTAAGCATAGTTATTTTTCTTCCTCTTCTATCTTCTCATTTCTTATTATCAATTGAAAAGTCACCAGAGCTCAATTGGTTATACAAACTTATAATAATAGCACCATGAAAAATGGGACACACATTACAATAAATAGCATAATGTCACAGAGAATAACTTTGAAGAGTCAAGTTCAGACAAACACAAGCCCAGACGACTTATCAAACTGTCAAGTATGTATTGCTAAGGTAAGAATATTGTTTCTCCTTCAGTTACGTAATGCTTGTCTAGCAATCCACACAGTCCACACTCGATATGTACTTGAGCTCAAACAATTGGAGTTCGTATAATAATTTGGTCAATAATAACTGAGTAGTCAATCGAGTAACTAATTTTAGTGTTAAAAAACATACCTAAACTCTTGAAGTCACCAATTTCAATTCGTTCAATCTCAACCTGTACAGGTACACAATAAAAAGAGTATGCATCATTAGTATAAATGTAACAATAGGGACTTTATTTAGTACAAGTAGAACATTATAATTACAAAATAGGGGCCATTGCTTGGTGCAGTTGTAAAGCTCTGGGCTGCCAATTATGAGAGAATTTGAGTTTGAGTACGAGGGCAGCCACTTTGTGCACATTATCCCAACAGCACTATCGATTTTACCAGGGACCAACATAAGGGAATCACCTTTAACAATATATATTACAAATGCAATGCATTCATTATTGTTTTCTTCCTCTTCTCTTTTTCGTTTTTTTGTTTTTCTTTTTTTAAGAATAAAGAGAATCACAAAGTACTACAGATTTTTCAAAGTATCTAAATATTCCAAACACAAAAAAAAAAACAGATCTGATTAAGAATATATAGACATACGGTATTGAACGAATACCCACAGTATACAGACAGCACAAAAACAATTTTCAAATGTAAGAAAAATTCATTCAACCCACATGGACTATCATTTTGTATGGAAAGAAAAACATAGATTCCAAGAATATGCCTCAACAGTCCGGTTCAGCAGTTTTTCAGACCGGCTATCAACCTTACAGTATGTAGTTAGCAAACAAGAACAGCCTTAACTTGTCAGGAAGATGAATCCAACATAATACGAAGTATTAACTTTTTCAATCGGAATAATATGGATGTTGCACTATCGAAATTACAATCCAGGGCATCATCAGTTGTAGATTTTATAAATAAATAAAAGTTCCCAGTTCAAAATAAATAAATAAATAAAAGTTCAACGATTCGAGTCCCCGTTGGCTGGGGGTTTAGGAGACAGATTTGAGTGCAGACCTAATCTTTGGTCAAATGTGACAGTGCCTGTTCTCATAGGTTTGAGCCGATAACCTCAAGTTTAATAAAAAAGTTGCCAAGTTGTCAAGTACTTACACTGTCTTGAAGTAACAAGAATTAAAATTGCTACAGAAGACTGTGGAATGTGTATACTCAAGAACAAGATAAAAATGTTTCTCAAGGTATATTATAAGGTCCTATTTTAACACAACATGAGAGAGAGAGAGAGAGATGTATTTCTAAATTCAGGTTATGGTGAAAGAACGGTCGACCAAAATAAAGCAAAATGGTTGCCACTCACTGTTGTTCAAACCTCATAATACAAATAAAAATGACACTGAATGCCCTGGAAGCATCTTTATTGGAGTTGCACTACTGTAAGGATACCATTCTATAAACAGATATTTGTAGTAAATGTTTACTAGAACTAACTTGATCTTCCAAAGTTGGTTTTCTCTTCATAGATTATGAAACTGTAGAACCAAAATTTAAACAATTTCACCATATTGAAAACTTACGGGCATTGAATGTGGTATGCTCTTGTTCAAAGACTGGAACTTAGCCACTTTACCGAGCGGTGGTGAACCAGATTCTATGGCTGGTCCAAGTGAAGTTGTTGCAGCTGCAGTAGCAGACTCACCAGGTAGCCGAACATGTCTCAACCGCTTTACTGCCCGATGCAACCGTTCCAACCGAAAGGTCTCACCGCCAAAGAATAAAACAGCATCATTTTCCTTGTAGTCCTCGCTACTGCCCTCGAAGGTCACTTTTGGTTTTCCAGGTTGGTTGTTGTGGAATTCTACAGTAACCCTGTTTTCCTTGTTCTTATGCAGTGATCCTGGCTGGTTCTTATCAATTGAAGCCGGTTTAAATTCATCTGAAATATATTTAAAAATAAGAAAAACCAATTCAACAACCTTCTAATATCCCAAGCAAGCTTTTTAACTGAAAAAGAAACGAATAGATGAATAAAAAAATCTCAAACCCCATTGAAACAATAATTTGAGAGAGTGATAGAGAATAGAGAGAGAGAGAAATACTGAATTGTTCAGTTGTTGTATATCTGTGTAATTACAAGGAGATGTACACCTCTCTTTTATAGAGAGGAAAAGAGACATAGGGTGCCTTAGCACCGAAAGCATAATGGAAAGAGGGAACAACAATTATGAAAGCATAAACATAATGATAGACTACAATGATGACTAACACTACTAATATACAATATTAATATACAATAATATACTAACACCCATGTTTTTATTGCTTTGGGTCTGGAAGAATTAGATAGAAACTGAAATGAAAAAAATGCAACTTTTGGATTTGCAAGAACATATAGCTAAGCTAAGTCCAATTACCCATAGCTAAAACAGCAAAAACACAAAATGCAAACTTTCCCATATTATTTTTTTGTTTTTGTTTTTGTTTTCGTTACTCAGTTTCCTCAGCAAACAATAAGAGAAAAAATATTTCAATTCGCATAAAACTGCATTCTCAATCTTAAAAAGAAAAAAAAAATGGTACATTCTTTTCTTTCCTTCAGCTTTCTGGGCAACCAAACAGAATGAAATGGAAAACTAAGTACATACATACATACACACATATATATATAGAGAGAGAGAGAAGTATACAACGTAAAGTGCAGAACTTGGAGGAGGGACGGTGGTCTTTGAAAGAGGAACCTAGGGTTAGGTTATACCAACGATCGGGCTGAGGAGCTGTGTTGGGTTCTTCATTTTTGTTGTTAGTAGCCATGGTGGTTTTCAAACTTTCTCAGACAACACTGCTTATGTCGAATTCGAAATCAATGAAAATCCGAAACCCCCTCAAAATTCGAAACCTTTTTAGGGCTTTTTCTTTTGCTGCAGAGAGAGAGAGAGAGAGAGAGAGAGAGGGGTAGAGAGAGGTCGAAGAAGCTGCTGATCAACGGATGAGTTGGAGATTCGGTGTACATTCTCTGGATTGGTTCGATTCTCAAAAAAATTTAAGAATCAAGTCGATCTTAACAGTTATGTGATTTTGATAATCAAATCAGATCATTATAATTGTAAAATTAGATCAAAATCAAATCGTAAAAAGGGTTCGATTTTGATTTGATTTACGGTTCTAAAAATTTTTATTTATAAAAATAAATTGTTAATATTAGTAAAATAATTACTCAAACTAATTACATTTAACTCGTGATAAAAATTAATAATATTAAGATATTATTTAATATTATATATCTATAATATTCTAATATCATTAAAATTATAAAAAATCAATTAATAAAAATAAAATTTGATATTATATATATATTTTTTAAAATTCGATTCGGTTCGATTCGTACTTTGATTTTTTTATAAAATTTATTAACTGAACATTTTTTACGATTTTCATATTTCTTAATTCAAAATCGAATCAATTCTTAATAGAACCGAATCAAACCGTATGATTCGATCTGATTTAGTCCGGTTTATTGGTTTGAACGAATTTTTAAACCGCTCTAGCGGGAGATGAGGGTACTTCCGTCTTTTCACAATAAGCTCGTTTCGCTAACGTGCGCTGGAAGGGCCGGGCCCACCGAGCACGAGGATTGCGTTGGCAGCAAAACCATCACTGCCGAAACCGCCAGCCAACGTCACAAAAGTTAGCATCATTTGAAAACGTAAAAAATTGAAATAAATGATTGGATTTTAGCATATTTGAAGGAAATAAACATTGAATTTTACTTACCCAAAAATAAAAACATTAAATTTTAAGTAAGCGTTTTTACCAGTAAAAAGGTAATTCGTCATAAATACCTAAATATTACAATCTGTTACAGATAAGATTTTGTCAATCTCAATTCAACTTTTCCAATAGAATTGGCCAAAGTTTTCTTTTTCATTTTTTTTTGGCTGAGATTCTTGTTATCTGAGCTTTTGAGAAATGCAGCGGCAAGACGGAGCATTTAAAGACATCAGAAAAAATGTTATGGTAATAAAATTTGAGAAATTATGCAAGGTACACACCAAACGAATTTAAATGTGAAATGAAAAGAATAGAAAGGTAGCTCGATAAGGCCTAAGATTGGGGATTGACTGTAGAACTGGAAAAGAGAGAGAGAGAGGAGAGGCATTGACAATTACATTTTATAAAAAAAATGACAAAGATCATTAGGATAGGTGTACCTAAATAGATAATTTTATTAAAGTTCTCTAATTGGATAACGTGACAATATTGTATTGAATGTCTATATTTAGAAATTTACGAGAGAGTCGTAAATAAGTTACAACTCCAAGGTTGGCCTACAAATCCTGATAATAAGTTTCACGTTTATAATTTATAAGTTATTGTGTATATCACTTAAAAAATATTAATTCAATAATTATAATTATATGATTTTGTTAAATTAGTTTATAATGTTAGTTTTAAAAATAATAAATTTGAAATCAATTGTTCAATTTTTAAGACAAATATATTAATTTTTTAAAAGATAAATAGATGAAAACTTTTTAAAAATAAACATATCAAAATATATGATTTTAAAAATATTAATTTATTTTTTAAAAATAAATATAACAAAGTCATGCAATCAAAATACTTTTTTTAATAAATAATATACACATAGCTTATAAATTAAACAACTTTAATAATTTAAGTGAGACCGAAAAAAATACATGTTTCTAAATGAATTGAAAAGAAGTTAGATCTTATAATTTGCACAATACAATCTATTGGTACAAATTATAAGATTGTTTATAAATTTATTTATTTATTTAATTGAAAATTTGTGTGCCAAAGAGTATTTGGTGTTGTTTATTTTCAATAAAAATAATTTTAAAAAAATTTATTTAAAAGTTATTTTACTTTTATCTTTTATTTTTTTTTGTTACTAGCACATTTTTTTTTTGGTTTGTTTGTTTGTTTGTTGGTACCCGAGTGTGGAGACTTGTCTTGCCTATAAATACCCGAAGTACGTGAATGAGATTTGCGGCACAGGCACTGCTTTAGAAGAGAGAGAGAGAGAGAGCGAGCGAGAAAACTTGCAATGGCAAGATTTTCTGTGGATAAAGAAGATGATTACGCAGGACCTAGCAACAATCCGTGGTCCAAGAAACAGAGAACCACCACCACCTTCACTCGATCACCACCAGCACCAGCACCAGCGCCAGCGCCAGCGCCAGCGCCAGCACAAGAGCAGCCACACCACCGACCCAGCCTAGAACCACAACTAGTTGAAGACTACGACGACGACGATGAAGAAGTTGAATCCGAGTACGAAGACGAAGAAGAAGACGAACAGGTAGATGGAGAATCCGAAAACGACGAAGAGGAAGACGGAGAATCTGAATACGACAACGAAGAAGATGGAGAGGAAGATGAAGAAGATGGAGATGAAGAGGAGGAGGAGGATCAGAACGAGGTGGGACACCCATCGAATGGCGTCGCACGCAACGACGATCGCGAACGCAACTCCGTTTCCGTAATCCTAACCGACCCAGACGTGCTCGATTGCCCCATCTGCTTCGATCATTTGAGCATTCCTGTCTATCAGGTCCGTTCTCTCTCTCTCTCTCTCTCAACCCCCTTTTACCTCTCTCCATACGATCGCTTTGTGTTTTTTTCTTTTACAAACCCTTGATCTCAATGTGTCTATTATTTCTGTATGTTGTGCAATTGAAGTAGCATCTGTGTTATCATTTTATGAAATCCTTATTATTATATAGTGTGATTCCGAGCGTATCATCTAGTAATAATCTCAGGTTGGATCGATTAATTGCCATACAAATACTCAAAATTTACTGATATCAAATCAAGGAAGGTTACTAATGAATAAATCAGGGGAAAGTGTTGGGCTTGTTCTTATTAGAGTTGTAGTGGGAAAAGGATTATTGTGAAAGGCATGATTTCAAGCTATAAAACTTTAAAAAGCTACTACAAGAAATAAATTGCTGAAAAACTTGTTAAACAAGGACTTGCTGTCTTTGCTATCTTTGAGTTGAGTAGAGAGGTTCACGTGCGGTTTGTTTTGGCCATTGGTTTACATTTTTTTGGCAAAAGCCACCATCACTACTAATTCCAGTGCTGCATGGGTTATGCTCTTATGGCATTTCTGTTTCGTGCACATTTATTGTGGTGATGATCAGTGGGGATTACTTTCCAAACTTCTCGCCCCCAGCCCCCACCCCCCACGCGCACACCCCCATGTTGAAAGCTTGTTTTTCTTATGCATGCCTGTTTATGGAAAGACACACATGCTATTTGGTTGGGGGCGTGGGTGTTTCACTATCCGTTGCATTTATCTTATACTTTGATCGATGGAATCTTAGTTGAATTTTTTGGAGTCCTTTATGTCGTTTTCGAAGGAAGTTAATAATAACAAACTTCATGGGATATTGTTCTACAAGCAATGAGACAAACTGAAAATTGGGGGTTTTGATTCATTAAGTGGAACTCCCTTAACGTTGATTTATTCTATTATTTATTTTGGTCTTAATAATCCTGAGTAACTTTTTCTCATTTTTTGGGGGTAGAAGAGAGTTAAATGATTTTAAGAATCAAATCATTGTCATTTATTATACTTGGTCAAGAAATCTCAAAATACGAGTTATATGGTTTTGCACAGGAGTTTAACTTATACATGGTGCTCTCATAAACCCCCTGCTTTACAGATGACCAATGGAATGTTGCCACCTCAACAAATTTGTGATTCCACCAAAAATTTCCATCCATTTTACGTGCACTCGCCCTTTTGTGGTAACGTCCTCCCTATGTTCCCCTAAAATGCTATCACCCATCTTTGGTCACCTTCGTTTCTCCTCAGCTGCAAACAACAACCACTGCCACCGACCTCCCTTTCTCTCTCTCCCTCTACCTTCCCTCTCTTCATCAGCCCCACCACCCTCCACTCTCTTTGCTACCATCCCTGTCCAACATTAGAGAGAATGGTATGATAGTCGGGTTGGGAACCTATGTGCCACACGTGCCGTCACCAAATTGGTCATTGCTGGGGGTTGGGTTGAGGTGGTGCTGATTGGTGCTGGGGTTGGGAAAGAGGGGAAGGGGAGGCAGAGTCGATGGCATTTTAGGAGAAAAGATTGAAGTTATCACATAAGAGTGGGTGAAATTTTTTGGTGGAGTTCACAAACTAAATGATGTGGCAATATTCTATTGGGTGTTTGTAAACCAGGGGGTTACAAGAGCACCGCAAATTAGTTAGATTCTTTTGCACAGATGATCTGTTGTATAGGGGCTGTATCTGCTCTATCTTCAATTCACTGATGAGCATTTTTGGTAGACTATAGCTGGCTTCAATGGATGGGGTCCCTGAGTTATGTCTTGACAATAGAATTAACAGCCAATCATTCTAGGGATAACATATGAAACATGACCTCAAATCCTTGTGATGCTTGGGTTATTATTTCCTTGGAGGTGTTCTCGCTGCATTTGGATCAGTGTCTTTCACCAGGAATGTGGTCTATATGTCTGCTTGCTTTCGTCAAAATTGATAACTTTTATGCAATTGGTTTTCTATTTCTCCCTATCATCCACTGCAATTGGAATAGTCACTTTGTATACAATTTTTAATCTTTCCATTGACTCATTAAGGTTTGTATACTTTGGGCTTTTGGTGGCAAACTCTGTTAGTATGGTAGAAGTTGTGTTATTAACTCAGATCGTCATGACTTTCTATGAAAACTTTTGGGAGTATGAATTTCTTTTATAATATCGGATATGCACATGTAAGTATTTAGTAAACAAAATGGTAAAAATGACATAATAAATATGATTCCATCAGCATTCCCGTATAAGATTTACCATGTTAATGGTATTTGAAGCTGTATGATGAATGTGCTTTTTGAGAAACTTCAGGTTTTTACATTTTTGCATACAATATTAGTTGTTGCGTAAGAAATCTGTATGTATTAATTTCCATTGGTGAAACTTCTGTGACTGGTTAATTGCAAGTTATGCCTGTGAATAATAGCCCTAATGTGGTTTTTTTCTTGCTACATCGAAATTTAGTGTGAGAATGGGCATCTAGTGTGCTCCTCCTGTTGCAGCAAGCTTGGAAGTAAGTGTCCTTCTTGCGCTTGGCCGATTTACTATCACCGTTGCCGGGGCATTGAGAAGGTTATTGAATCAGTCAAAATATCATGCCAAAACATGGAGTATGGGTGCAAAGAAACAGTGAGTTACAGCAAGAAACGTGACCACGAGGGGATGTGTATCTATGCACCATGTTTATGCCCACTTCCTGATTGCCAGTATGTTGGATCCTCCAAGCCCTTATCCATGCATGTCAGCAACAGCCATCCAAATTCTGTGAGCCAATTCTGGTACAACTGTCTCTTCCATATATATTTAGAAAAGCACCAGAAGTACCTTATTCTTCAAGAACAAAGTGAAGGCATAATTTTTATTCTCAATAATTGGATTGAACCATTCGGAAATGTGGTCAATGTTAGTTGTATCGTACCAAGCTCATCGAATACAGGGTTTTCTTATGATCTCATAGCAACAAATGAGGACAGTTCTGTGAGACTACAATCTTTGACAGAGTGCATACATGAGCGGGCCAAACATCCTCCTCTGAAGAAGTTTCTTGTGGTTCCAAGTGATTTTGTCAGTGCTGCTGGGCAGCTCAAATTGCGACTCTGCATATGGAGGTATCATGTTTTTCCTCACATCTGAGGAGGTGATTGTGTTGTTTTAAGGTTATGGTAGATGTTGTGAACTTACAGTACATTTCCCCTGGGAATTGACTAGGGCAATTGGGGTTTTTGTTCTAGCTTAAGTTAAACTTGCTTATTTTATTTATACCAGAAACCTTTTTATGCTGTAATTGTCAATTTTGATCTTTGCTTTTGGATAATCATTGGTCGTGTGTCTCTTGGTGGCTGATAGTTTTTTATTTTTCTTGGTAATTTTTGTTTCTTATTTTTCTAGGTGAAAGCAATTGGTGCACAAATAAATTGCAGAAAATGTAAATGAGCCCTAGGAAAATTGGCACTAGAAATGATATGTGTGTGGGCTCACTGATTCTATTGATATGATTTGGTGTGTAACCTTGTGGTATGGTTTTAGCATTACTGTTTTGGTAGATGAGAATTGAGATAATAAGAACATAAAACTCTTCTTTTTTATTAGATGATCTGCATTTTGTTTTCAAGATACTTAGATACAGGGGAAAGCAGCTTGAGGGCAAAATAATTGTCCTTGAATAGCTCTATATTGTGCATCTTTTAATATTGCATTTAAATTGAGATTATTTAAAGCTCTTGGAGTAATTTTTAGTGATACTTCAAATTGGTAGTTATTGACCGAGGCAAGGAAAAAAGTTGAGACCTCTAAAGCTTCATCCCTAAATTTACATGTCAATTTTTTATTCTTGTAGTAAGAAACACATGTAACACAACTTTTACGACATCATTATAATTAAATTTATAAATAATATTTTAGAGGTCGTTACGTCTTGGTAATAGGATCCATGACTTATGTGTTGGTATCTCAAAGAAACAATATAAAATATATTAATTAGTAATCGGAATGAAACAAACTTTGTAATTTTTTTTTTAAATTTAAATTTTGGATTTGTGCATAAAACTAAAACCCAAAATTACCTAATGACATTGTGCTTGGTCTTCTAATTTTTCTCTCCTAAACTTAGTAATAGAACTAGTGCCTTTGGTTAAGTGGTTGTGTAGTATCACTTTGTGATGTGAGGTTACGAATTCAAATCTTATAAGCTGAGTTTGGTTAGAATAAAAGTGGGGGAAAGTGAATGAAATAAAGAGAACAAATAAGCTACTTTCAAAGTTTATTTAACATGAAAATAGTGAAAGTTGTATGAAACATAAATTTCCCGTACAATTCATGTTAACATAGATTTTAGTCCCTTATAAAAAATACATAAAAACATAAGAAAGTTCAAATTTATTTATAAAAGTGGTTAATATTCGAAATTTATCTTACTTTCCTTCTAAAATTTTCATCTTAGGCAAATACATATGAGAAAATATATATTCTTCTCAAATTTTTTTTTTTCTTTCACTTCACTATTTGTCATTTACACCTTTTATTATTAAATTCTTTTGAATCGAACGGATCCATAGAGACCCATAGAGAAGAGTTTGACGCATTTTATGTTGTCCCCTTTCCTTGCTAACAACTAACAAATTAAATTAATCCCTAATGATGCATACATGTGACAAAGAAGATAAAAGAAAGCACCATGTTGGAGCAAATTAAAAAGATTCTATAAAAACGAAGACAGGAAAGCTTAATTTAGCTCAATCAACTTGATTTTATATACTTCAAAGCATATTTATGCTTATCTATAGTTGAGTTTAAGCCTGACTAAAAAAACAATAAATTTAAAAAATGTGTTTAATTTAATTTGTTTTATAACCTTTCTACTTGTTTTTAAAATAAATTTTTTGCAAATTTTACGAAGAACTGAAATTACAAAGGTTTTTACAAATTTTACCAAGAATTGAAATCAGATAGGACTTTTGAGTATTTTTAACATTAAACCATCGTCTTGCTCTGTTGGTAATATATATTTTTCTTTTTCCGAAATTTATTTTTAATCAAAAGCACGACAAAATTTCACAATTATTATTTAGAGTAAATTATAGTACTTGTTCATTTGTTTGAGTGAAATTTTATTTTGGTTCTCATAATTTTAATGTGAACAATTTGATCTCTATACTTTTAATTTTATTGTAATATGATCCATCCATCATATGTTGTTAACATTTTAAATTAAAAAAAATCATGTACAAATCTAGAAGGACCAAAGTAGAATTAGTTTCTTTTGAATTTCACTTTAGTTCATTTTTTCAAATTTTAATGGCAAATGATGAAGGAACTACATTACAACCAAATTAAAAATATAAAAATCAAATTGTTCAAATTAAAATTTCATATATTATGGTGACAATTTATTTAAATTACAAGGACTAATAATTTAATTTATCCTATTATTTATTATTTTTAAAGTGGTAAAAAAAATTCTCAAACAAGGGAAAAATCGGTTAACCCTTTCAATCGGTTTATCTCTCCATGCCCGTATATCATGATTCGTTATCATTTGAATTATTTATATTAAAACCTTTTAAACTATTAAGAAAAATATTACTTTTAACTCTTTAAATTATAAAAATATATAAATAAATTTTTTAAATTATTAAAAAATATTACTTTTTTTTTTAAATTATAAAAACGTATGAATATTCTTAAGTTATAAAAATATACAAATTGAACCGTTAACGAAATAGGTTAAAGTAAAAAATACTAATAATTTAAGAAGTTTATTTATATATTTTTAAATTTAAGATGTTAAAGTAATATTTTTTAATAATTTAAAAATTTATTTATACATTTTTAAAATTTAAAGGTTAAAACAATACTGGTTAACAATTAGGGGTGTACGTGTAAATAATCCTTGTCATTTATCAGGAAACGAACCCAACGAAAAGGTACAACTCAAATCAGCAGAGAGAAACTCCATTGCCAAAAGCTCAACAGCGTCTTCTCATCTTCTTCTCCGAATTCAAATAGCTACCAACGTTCCTTGAATTCGATCGAACCCTAATCTCGACCCCTTGCTTGCGTTCGATCTCGCTGGACTGTCCTCCACTCGATCTCACTAACAGAACAATGGTTTGTCTTCTCAAGCCCTTTCGATCTCATTCAGTTACATATATGCATATCTTATCTCAATTCCATATATTTGTTTCATTAGCATTTTCTGTGAATAATTTTTGGTTTCTGGATTCAATCAAAAGTGGAGCTCCTTGTATTGGTTCTGTGATGCATTAGGGGTTTTTGTGAATTATAAACTTCAATATTGTGGGCCTTTTCTAGTAAAGTTCTTACTTGCTAGGACACAACATATGACATTGGTACAAGATGATGCAGATATGTTGATAGGATTTTTTGAGAAAAAAGCAAGAGATAGATGTAGTGATAGTATGAATTTTTTTTTTTTTTACACAAATCCACAAATATCATAGGGGACAAATTCACAGTTGTGATATAATCCGCGTCTAAATACTTAAAAGATGAAGCTCAACAGAACTAAAATTTTTGTTTACATTGTGTTGGTCTTTGAAAATGAGGTGCTGGGAGGCGTGGGTTGGGTGCAAGCTGAGACTCGGGTATTATGTGCGAAAAATGGTTGCCTCAAATGCAAATCCACTTTCTTAAGAGGTGTGCTAGAGTTTTTAAAAGACAAACTACTAATGTACTAGTGATTGCATTGTAGATTGTTGAATCCAAAATGAGGAACAATGTTGTTGAATTTAAGGATCCAAAATTAGTTTCTTTTATCTTTCCTTACTTTTATCTTTATGAAGAGAAACATAATCCAAAAGAAAAAGAACCAAAATTGGTGCTAGGAAGGTGAGTCTTTTTAAGTGAAGGTTTAAGCAGAGGGACTAGGAACATGAATAGCTTGATTGTATAGGGACCAAATTTTCTATTAAATTCAAAAATAATAAATTTCTAGAAATAACTGGACAACTTGCAGATTCCAATCGTATTAGTTTCATTAAATTTCTTCTTCTTTTTTCTTTTTTCTTTTTTCTTTTTTTAAAAGAAATTCTGCTTGCTTTTAAAAATGGCTCAAAACTTCCAAACAGGGATAAACTTTGTTTAGTTCTGTTCTATGCCCTTTTTTAACACTAACTATCATGTATGTTTTTGTCATTCTAATAGATGTGCCCTTTTGGACAAAAATTGGATACATGTGGGACAAGATTCTTTATTTTTTTCTTTTCTTTTTTGATAAATAAATTTAGTGAGTGATCTGCAAAACACCTTTCAAAATTATATGCTTTAAGGTACCGAATGAAGGAGATACTGTGATGGGCAAGAGAAAGGGGGAAGAGCTTACAGTGCCTGAAGGGATTAAGAAAAAGAAGAAACAAGTTACCACACCTCGTCCCGCATGCTCCTGGGTGCATTTTAGGTAACAGTCGGTTTCTTCAAAGCAAAAATGTGCATCTGTAAGCATTCTCTTTTTCAAATATTTACATTAAATGGTTAATGTTGTAGCCGAGAGTTTATTAAGGAGTATAGTGCTTCCCATCCCGAATCTTCAGGCCTGAAAGCTGTAAGTTGTTGAATTTCTTTTAAAATTTGCATAGTTCTATTTAGTGTTGAATAGTTGAAATGGTTAACCGTATGTGATTTCTTTTTGCCTTTTAGGCTACAAAGGCAGCTTCTGATGCATGGAAATCAATGAGTGTTGAGGAGAAAGCTAAATACACCAGGCGTGCCCGTGAAGTGTGGGATAACTACTTGAGCACTGCTCCTGCCCGTGTCCCAAAGCCGAGAAGACAGGTATGATATTTCTTGGACGACTGTTTGCAATAACAACTCTGCCGGGGTTGCTTAACAGCTCCGCCGGTCCTAAGCCCGGGTAAAGTAGGAGGGTTGTGTGTTAGGTAGCCGACAACCAACACGTAAAAATGCCGCTCAGATCCTTTATGGTTTGGTTTGACTGTTTGCAATAATGTTTTGCACCACAACACAAAACTCTTACAAATTCTTTGTTGCAGGCCAAACTAATCACAAGGTGCTCTCCTGGACGTTTATTCAATGTGTTACAACGCCTTTCCCCTGATCAAAAAGCTGCTGTGAAAGGCATGGGATTTGGTAGCCTCCTTGGTCTTAGATGTCGAACCCTCCGTCGCAGTTTGTGCCTTTGGCTATTAGAGAGGTTCAATACTGCACGAAGCAGCATGAATATTTGTGGTGAGCGCATTCCTTTATCACCACAGGATGTGGAACTCGTGCTTGGATTAGCAGCAAGTGGGAAGGATGTGGTGAACTCAGGTCCTGATGAACTAATTGCAGAATTGCGTCTTAGTTACACTGATTCAAATCGTGGGATATCTCTTCGGCTTTTGGAGGATAGGTTGGCAGCCCCAGAAGCAGGAGATGATTTTAAGAGGTCGTTTGTCCTCTATGCATTAGGCACTCTTTTGTGCCCTACAGCAAGGCTGGATGTAAGTCCTTCTTTCCTCCACTTCTTGATAAATATGGATATCATCCATCAGTACAACTGGGGAAAGTTCTTACTTGACCGTCTAGTTCGGGAGGTATCACGTTTCCGTCAAGGGAAGCAACGTGCAGTTGGTGGTTGCCTTTTATTTCTCCAGGTAGAGAATGTCACCTCATATTCAATTTCTGAAGAATTATGCCTGTTTGGTTCTTTTTTTGTTTTGTTTTGTTTTCGTGTTTTCGAAAATGAAACAATAAAAAAGTTCCAAAACACTCGCCATTTTCATATTGCTTTAATTTTTGAGTTTTAAAAAAAAAAATTTGAGAATTTTTTAGTATTTCCTAAAAAAGGTTTTCTGAAAATTTTCTAATTTTTTTTTTCAGAAACAGTTTGCTAAACAAGTTTTCCATGATTTTCAAAAATTGAAAACAAAAAACAAAAATGCAACCAAACAATTGGATTAGAATTTTACCTCTGTAGTTGTTCACAGCTTTTCTACTATGAGAGAATCTCTGTTGGAGGGCCTTGTGAATTGGTCCCCATTGTTGCTCCCTGCTTGTCCTCATGGGGTGAGGAAGAAATTACTGAGAGGGAGAAGCGAGAAAAGGAGCTTGGTGGCTATGGACGTGGCGAGGTAAATTAAAGTTATAAATATATGACACTATATATGCGGATCATCAAGTTTTCTGTTCCTCTGCAGGTAATTTACAAGGAGAGGTGCCATGGGATGGAGTTAGTGGTGGACAGAACTCAACCGGATGACTTGCTAGTGAGAGAAGTGGACACCATAGTCGAGCATGGTCTTGACTTTGCTGATGAGGGTAACCCGGTAATTAAGACATTGCATTCTTAGATTGTGTTACTGTGAGCTTTGTTTATAAATTTGAAATCAATAATTTGTGCTTTGTCAGACTTTGGGTAATGGTCTCTCTCTCTCTCTCTCTTTCTTTTTTTGTTTGTGCTTTCTCTTACCCGATGGGACTTAAGGCTTGGTTTGGTTTCTCTTACCCATCATTCCTGGCCATTGGCAAAAGGTTGTTAATAGTTGCGTCTTTGATATCTTAGTTGCTTTTTGCACTTTTGATGGACAAGAGTAACACCATTTTAACCCATGCCATCAGGGGGGGCTTCAGACATCTGCTTGCCATGTGTCCTCTAGTTGGGGCATCCTTGCCATCCACCATAGTCATAGTTTCAATGCCTTCTGTGCATCAGATTTTATAGCATATTTTACTTATGCATTTTTAGATCCTTGTTTTTCCTAAACCAGAAAAGGCCAGATGACGATTAAAGTTGGTCACCTTGCATATGTGTCTTCTCTTTGCATCATGTGACCTTGCTTAGGAATTTCTTTCATGTAAAAAATCAAATTGAATTTCAATTTATTGACATAGATTTTTGGTGCAGTGCATTTTTTCTTCTCTTTGATATTTGTTTATACAAATGAATTGAGTTGATTGTAAGATCAAAATCGTTTGTTTGAATGAGATGTTATGTTATCTTGCTTTCTTTTAGGGGATTGAGGAACCTGCCTTTAGTGATTAGCTTAATAGGCTAGGTGGTATCCCATTGATCATTGTCTTTTAGTGTTTGTTGGACGTCTACAAATTGATTATTTATTATTTTTTTATGATGACAAGATATTAATTTATGATTTGACTTGCACCACTTTATTTTTGGTGATACATAAAGAAGCTCTTTTGTATTATCCATACCATTGTGTAAATAATGACGACTTCTTTTCTCATGTATTTTTATAATTCTCTTCTATTTTCTTCTTGTTGGGGATTGTTACTTTGTAGACAAAAGAGGATCAAATAAATGGAGAAATTGTTATGGAGGAGGTAACCATCAATGGCTCTCACTTTTTTATTCTCTTTATATTTTCTCTTCCATTATCTTCTTCTTGGGGATATGGTTGTTACTTGTGATTGTTACTTTGTAGGCAAAAGAGGATCAAATAAATAGGGCAATTGTTATAGAGGAGGTAATCATCAATCTCTCGTTTTTTAAAATCTCTTTACAATTCTAATCTTGATTTTCCTTTTGATATGCACCTCTAATGATTTAATTTCAATGTTCTAATGTCAAATAAATGGGCAATTGTTATAGAGGAGCTTGTTTTATAATTTCAATCAAGGAAATAGTTTTGGATAAAGCAAACTAGAGAAAACAGATTAATGTAGGTGACCCCAAGTAAGTACTTAAGGCTTGTTTAGTTCAGTCAATGAATAAGAATTTTAATGCATTTTTATGCTATGTTTAACAATCTCATCGCCGTGATTGTATCTTTGGTGTATTCAGAATGTTATAACATTTTGTCTCTTATAGTAAGGAAATATGGCAGTTGTGATTGGATCCAGATCCTCTCCATGACATATCCAATGGCTATAAATTTGTCACATGAATTTATCGTTATTTCAATTTTTTTTTTTTAAAAAGAAGTCATTACATCTATTGAGGTGGTATTTTCAAAACCATTGGATGGTGTAATGAAGAGGATCTGTATGTGTTGCGATTAACATGTCCCTGTGGGCTATCTCTCACTGTATCTAAATGACTGAAACCTGCAATTAACTAATGTTGTGTTTGGATGTTTGTGGAGGGAAAAGTAAAAGCAAGGGAAAAGCAACAATTTTTTTTAGCGTTTACTTCATTTACAAACTTAACCTAAATATTTGCTTTGGGCTTGCTCTATGCCCAAAAACTTGAAATTAATAATCAAAAGAGAGAAGATTTTTGAACAAAAGAAATGGTAGACCTTGTATTGAAACATATAGGAGCTATTGATAATCAGGTGCCCAGCTGTATATTATTTTTTGTTAATTTTTACGAGTTCCTAGCTTTGGAACTAGAATTTGTTTCTTCAGTCTTGTACTCAATGTCTTCCATATATTCTCTCTCTCTCAATATCTTTTAAGTTTCTCAAAATAAATAACTAGGTTGTTGGATTTTTACAGGAAAATATGTCATTAGTTGGGGATGTAGAGGTGGTTGTTGAACCAGTCAGAATGTTGTGCCGAAACAGAGCCTATGGTTGCACGGAAACATTAAATTACACGGAGAAAACTGACCACGAAGAAACATGTGCCTATGCACCATGTCCATGCCCTCTTCAGGACTGCAGCTTTGTTGGCTCAGCCGAACAGTTATCACTTCACTTCAGCAGTAAACATTGGGATTCTGGAAGGCATTTCCAATACAACTGCCCTTTACATGTCTACTTGTGTAAGGACGAACAGTTTCTCATTCTTCAAGCCGAGGAAGACGGTCTTCTCTTTCTCCTCAACAAAGGGATTGAAAATATCGGGCTTACGGTCATGATAACTTGTATTGGGCCAAGTTCTTCGAAGGAGCAGTTCTTCTATGACGTCGTTTCAGAGAGAGGAATAAGCTCTCTTCGGTTGAAATCGTGCACACAAAATTTTCCTGGGCACGTGGAAGGTCTTCCTCCCGTAGATTTTCTTTTGATTCCATTTGGTTACGTTAGTTCATCAGGGCAGCTGAATTTGGAGGTTTGTATATGGAATTCAACAGAACTTGGTGCTGATTGAACCTTTTTTTAGTTTGGTGAATTTATGATTGTGGGGTTTAACTTCAGCAAATACTATAGCTCTCTCTCTCTCTCGGTTCTATTTGTGATGCTATCTAGATGAAGATGGGATTTGATCCCCATGCTTTTGGGACATTTATTTTTTGAAAAACTGGAAATATAGTCACAAAGGTCTAGTTGTACATCATGCTTGTGGAGCTCCCAATCTTCTCTTTTTGGGATTGTGAATTAGTTTCATATTTTGATAGAGTACTATTTTACTCACTATATATGAATGTTAAATTAACTTTTTTAGGTTGGGAGAAAGCACATTGATCCCCAGATTACCTTGAATTTTCTTAAAATTTAATTCACATGATGTTTTGTTTTGTTTTTTTTTATTATTATTAATAATTCATTAGTTGTATGAATAAAAAAATAATATAATCTTATCTCTTTTATATTGAAATATATATTTTAGGACAATTGTAGAGGGCCACAATTTTTATGACTCAAATGGCTCAAAACTGCCAAAACGACGTCGTTTTGACAGTTTTGAGCCACACAAATTGTGGCTCTCAAACATTATTCTATATTTTATCATGTCATTGTATGCATGAATCATGTGTAATTAGTTCTGGTCACTTTAACTTTATTAAAAAGAAAGTGAGCATGATTATTCCAAACTAATAAAGTTTATTATATTTGTTGAAATATATCCTAATTATTTATGGTGTGTGAATATTATTCACCTTCCTAATTAATTCTTTTATAAGAGTCATTGCTTTTGAAAGAATCATTCAAAAAGATAATCCGTTTGGTTCAATTTTAGAATTATGATTTAAGTGTGGAATTGTATTTTGAGTTTTGAGTGTTTTAATCATAATTTGAAAAGAGAAAATTTGTTTAATTATGAGTTTTGAGAATAATTTTGAGATGATTTGTAATTTTTTTTATTTTTTTTATTAATTGATGTATGGAATGTGAAAGGAAAGAGAATAGATAGAGAGAAAAAGTGATTGATTAATTAAATAATAATAATAATAATAATAATAATAATAAGAGAAGAGAGGTGTTTTAAAAGTAATTTTACAATATATTTTAAAAATATGTTTAATTAATATATTTTATTCAAATCATAATTTAAAAACAAAATTGAATTTTGAAAAATAAACCAAACGCTACCAATAACTTTCACTCCCTATCAATTAATTTATTAGTGAATAAAAATTGTTAATACTTTCTAAACCATGTCACCATTCCGATGTAAAGGAAAGATGCAATTCAATTCTATGGTATTTATCTCTTTAAAAAGTATATATGATATGTTCTTGTTATGATCCAAAGAATTAAAATAAATTTTTTCTTAAGAATTGAAATGTGATCCAATGGTGAAAGGAAAAAGGTTGAGATCCCTTTTTTTCTTGACCTCCACCATCTCTAATGTATTGGGATTGGCTAACTTTTTTTTTTTTTTTTTTTTCTCTTATCACTCACTAACATGTGTTTATGATGGTTGTGGGGGTCAAGAAAAAAAGAGATCTCTATCATTTCTTGTACGGGGGCCAAATATCCGACATTATCCATACTCCTCGTGTCCAAGTTGCGCTTCACTTCGATTAACCTGAGAACATAACAACGGTGAGCTACCCGACTGTATGTTGCTGGAAAATCCCTTCGACGGTCAAGTTAGCACACTTAGAGAGAGAGAGAAGAGAGGAGACAAAGTGATAAGTGAGCCCTAATCAGAGGATGTTCCTGACCTGAGTATGAAGGCGCAACGCCGTTTATATAGTTTTTGTGTGCACTTGTACGCCCATTCCCCTCTTGATGCGTGGACCTGCTCTCCTCTCACATTTCCCCACATATCAGCGCTAATACAGCTAAACGCCACCTAACGAAACCACCAAACGGTATTGACACGTACGGACAACGGAATCTCCTTCTTGCAGTCACGCTGCGCCACGTAGTACTCCCCACCGAGCTATACTTAGTGCGGTACCACGCCATCACCTTACGACCGTGCTACTTGTCTGGTTTCCTTGATAGTTCCTCACCGTGAGCTCAATCGAACTTCCTCAGTCATGACCGAGCTTCTGCTCAGATCTGATCTTCTGAGGACTAAACCTGTTCAATTCAGCAGAACGCACATCTCTACCGGGCCAGCGGTCTAAAGTTATTCCAAATTGACCGAACTGAGCCCTTGTTCCGGTGCGCACCCAATGTCCGACTAAGCAAGGAACTTCAGCCCAACTTAATTCGGTCCAATTTAGCTCGACCCAATGTTAGGTTACGAATCTCCCTCTCAGTTGCTCCTTAATTCCGTTCACACTAGCATGAACGGGATTACATTTAGAGACCGAGCCTATTCCCTTACTCGGCCATCACCGCCTAGCTGCATGCTTAGCCATCTGTGCTACCAAACTGGTTTACCACCTTCAATTGGGCTAGTTAGTATGCTCGGTCGAGTAGCTCGCCCGGTTGATGTTTTGGGTTTCCAACCCGTCTTCTCAAGATTGGCAGCGGTCCCATCATAGACACGTGGCGTTCACTGATTGGCTTCGTGTCGTTTATCCCGCTATCACGCGTCGTCGCTTCAGTTTAAAATTTTGGCGCCTCTTCTCCTCTTATACATATATCGCACGCCCTTTCATATTTCTTCCTCCACTGTTCATTTTCTTTCTCAGACGACCCAGCAATCCAGAGCACACAGCCTTTGTTTTCTATTCTTGGTACTTAGATTAGAGCATTCTCTCAAGTTGATTTTGTTCCATCGCCGTCGTTGGGGCTCCATCTCACAGGTTGGATACGATCCGCACCCTAACCTGTAAGTCTTCAACCCCTCTACTGTTCTTCATGCTTTTTTCGTGTTCTTAAGCTCTGTCTTCCATAGATGAGTCTAAGGTATGATAACAGTAGATCTCATGGCTTCAAATGAAGTTAGACTAGGGTTCTTATCCCATTGTGATGATATAAAATGTCTTTGCCCCTCGCCCTAGACACTGTTCACCATCTTCTGTGATGAGCATGTGAGAATCTAGGATCGACTGGGCTACAAATCTCCATTTGATCCAAAATCATGACTTAACCGAGCAAGTTCCCTGTTTGTAGAACCTAGGGGAAGAACTGAGCGAAAAAATGCACTGGATCGCTCGACCAAGCTAAAATTTGGTCTGCTCGAGCGACCGAGCTGTTTACCCATTAGAGACCGAGGTGCTATTGCGCCCAAAGTGATTGAGCTAAAGTCGAGCTCGTTTGCGTGCCCGCGCTATCACTTACACTTGGTTTTTAACTACAAAGTCCTAGGGGACCAGGCACACAAACACAAGGCCTTTCAAAGACCAAGCAGCCACTGTGCAAAACTTTGCAAACTTAATACTGCCATGCTGAACAAGCTGGCCTCCCATGGGGCGCTGGCTCCGTTCCGAGAAGAGTACGGCATTCCAGCCGATGTGCATCTGGAGCTCGGCGATGAGGACATAAACCTATGGGGTAGGCTGGAATCCTGCCCTTTCACAGTGCTAAGCATAGTTGAGTGAGGGTTGCACTTCCCTGTGCAGCCCCTAATGTGTGAGTTTTTAAGGCGCATCGGGCTAGCCCCCATACAAGTGTCCACAAACACTTTTAGCATTATAAATGGAGTGGCCGAGCTGAACAACCGGCTAGGTCTACAAATGGGCCTGGTCGAAATACTGCGTCAATATACGCTCGGTCAATCAAAAGACAGTTATAACTATTATTTGAAAATAAGATCGGGCAGAGAATGATTAGTGACCGGCACGCCGGATAAGGACATGCACGATGATGATTCAGTAACTATGAAACAGCTGACGTGCCCGGTTGGTACATCAACAAGGACTTCAGTTCTTTTTGTAAGTCGATCTTTTTGACTGGTTAATTTTGTCAATGTCAATGTCAATTATGTCGAACTAATTGTCTTCCTTTTGTAGCTATCGAAGAGTTACAAGCCAATTATCAATATCCGAATAAAAAAGCGATCAGGGCTGCACTGAGATATAGGCACCGAGATTGCCACGAGCTTCTCGGTTACGCACCGACCTATCGTTATTTAGCTCGTCGCAAGAGCAAGGTCACAGATTTTCTGCAGGCGCCTTCTCCGCCTCCCGACCCAACACCTCCAGACGTTCCCCTCATCCGCTTGACCGAGAAGCAGGAAATGACAAAGAGGAATCGAATTAAGAACCTCATCACCGCCATTTCAACAGAGCTATCGAGCATCCCTTCTTCTACTCCAGCCGTCGGCCAGAGTTTAAGGACCATGATTGCCCTGGCTTTCACGGTCGCTCCATATGTTGAGTCTCGTCATGTTGGTAAGCGGGCCTATTCGGCTGATCCCTCTGCCGAGCTCGTGGCCGAGCTCAGCACCAAGCAGCCAGTGCAGGATGTTGAGCCCACACCTTCGTGGGGGCTGGAGTTCAAGCACCGAGGTAAAGAAATCTCAGCCAACGCATCAGTCAAGGAGAATAAGGAGCATCTTTTCGCTTTTGACTTATCAAAAGTGATGCTACTACCGAGCGACATGACCGGGAGCGATCACGTTTCTGACACCCAGCTTGTGAAGTTGGCGATCAAGTCCATGATTAGGGTATGATTCAAAATTTCATCAAGTCTCTGCTCGGTTTTCTTCTTTGGGCTAACTTTCTTCTTTTTGCAAGCCATCCAAAAACAGCATCTCGTCATGGACTGCATTGTTAATTTGCGTCATAAAGTGACCGAGCTGAATAACGCCGGCAATAACGTCTCAGCCGAGCAAGAGAGAGATGCTTTGAAAGCCGAGCTAGAGAAGGAGAAAAAAGCAAGACAGAAAGCCGTAGACGAGGCCAACAACCTCGGCTTCAAGAAGGCCGAAGAAAACTACACCAAACAAGTTGAAGCCACCAAGGACATCTTCTTCAAGTCTAGTTGGAAGGCTGCTTGTGAAAAACTTGGCCAAGGATCTAAAATTGAGGTGTTCACCTCTCCTCCCCCTGTCTTCTTACCGGTCTATATAGTGCTTTATGCCAATGAAGTCTTCAACTCTTTGCAAGAAGAGGCCAATGAAGAAGTTGAGGAAGAGGCCGAGGAGGAGGCCGGCCAGAAAAAGATCGGCAACAAAGAAAAAGCTACCGTGGTCGACCTGGAGACTGCCACAGAGGGAGCCGGAGATGAATTCACCGACCTCTCCCCCTAGCTTAGTTATGAATTCTCCACCTTTTTGTTTTGAACTTTTGTAACTAGGCCGCTTGCCCCAACTCTTGTACTTGAACAGTTAATGAATGAAATTT